GGCCAGGTAGGTGGTTTCTAAAAGCGTTGGAAGTTCTATTAAAGGGTTGGCTTGAGGGGCAGAGTAGGTAGTTCTAGCGTAACTGTTGTTCGCGATCCTCTGGGAGGCTCAGTGACGTTGGGAAGAAACCAAGACAGCTAGTTCTTGAACAAGGCTTGCTCAAATACGTCATTTAAATGGTGAGGCTTTAAAAGTTGGATCATGAGCCGGATTTCTGCATTCAGACCACTCAGAAAGCTAGAAATGAGATCCCCTTCTTGCAACCTTGGTTTATCCTTGAGCATTAAGGAGCACAACTCCTCGAAACGCTTCTGGTATTCAGTCATCATTGCTTCTTGAATGAGTTTATCAAACTCCTCAACAGCATCTATTTTAGCTGATTTGCCAAAACCTTTTGCAAAGCTCTTCTGCAGAAACTTCCCAAACCACAGGTTGTTATTTGCCTGCCAACCTTAATACCACAATTCAGAATTATCCCCCAGATGTAGAGTCGCTAGCTCAACTCTTTGCTCAGCTGGTACTCCATGTCCCTGAAATATTTCATGCACCTTCTTATCCAAAACCACAGATAACCCCTTCAAAGATAGGTATTTCTACCTTCGACACAGTAATTCTGAGGGATCCTCTAGGAGCCTCCTGACTGACACTTCCCCATTCCACTTCTCACAGTCTCAGAGTGGGCAAAATACCCTTGTTGGGTTGCATAGGCGTGGTGTAGATGATATCTGTGCTGGCTGCTCGGGAGGTCAGACCATGTTGCGGATTCTTTGCTCCACGCTTTCAAAGCACGCCTTGAGATGCAGCTAGTATAGACATTGAGACTCGTGCAGCTCGTCTATGGAGGAGCACATGGTGCTGTAAACTTCTGGCATAAAGTCTTTCAGCTTCTGGTCAAAACCCCAACCAGATTCTTCCAGCATTTGGACCCTTTGGGTGTCGGTCATTGTGGTTCTTGTCATCACAGCTCATGAAAAGAGGGTATTGTCAGTATCAGATGGCTCTGATACCAAGTTATCAGGTTCCTTAGACATATGTTCAGTCAAGGAGTCTGGTAAGAAATTGTTTAGGGTTTAGCAAGAGAAAGAGAGAACACAGTAGGGAGAAAATAGGTAGAAGAGAAGATGAGAGGAAGAGAGAAAAGAGACAGGGAGAATATATGAAAGATTGAGGATTTTGATTAGAGGGTTTTCATATGATTTGTCACGAAGCATGCGGCATATTTTATTTCTTTTTCTACTGATTTCGTCACAGAACAAGACAAAAAACAATAACAGAAAAGGCAATAACAGAAGGTAGAAAATTAAAGAGGCAGTACAAGGACAGACAAAATTCTAACTAATCTAGGATTATTGATTAAACACCTAATTAACTAAGTAGTGAGACCAATTTGCTGCAGACCCAACAGTGAATCACTAGGTCACTGTTACAGAGTGTGGACGCTTCCGGAAGGCTTCAGTGGCCTTACAAGCATTTCCATCAAGAACTGTATACAGAACCCAAGTTTAAAACCATGTTCAGATCGGGAGAACTGAGAAGTGAAGAGAAAAAAAACAATGGATAGATCTAAAAGATTCACGGTTCCAAACAGTCATTCTCTTTATTCGAGTAAGGACTTAGAGAACCTTATTGATATTTTGATTAACTTTTAACATTTTTACATATGAGTTGCACCTGTTGGTGCTTGTGAATATATATAAACACATCCCATTTTTCTTCCAAAAAATAAGAGAAAAAAAAATGAGGGGATGCCCACCATCCCTTCCATTTTTTGGCTCAAAAATAAAAGGCTAGTAATGAAATGGAGGAACTTTTAGTGACCTTGCTTTCCCTTCACAGTATTTTTTCATTCCCCCCAAATTGGAAGAAAAGGAAAGGAAAGAAAAAGGCAATTTTAATGGTTAATTTTCTACTTTATACTTCACTATCTGATTTACCATTCTATTAGCAAAGTCTATTATTAACCTTTTTTATCATCAATGTTATCCTTTCCTTGACAATTCTAAAACTAACAGAATATTCAAACAATCATTTCCTTTCCTTTAATTTCTTAATTTTTTAGTTGCCAAATAAAGAAATATTTTCCTTCCTTTCCTTGGGAAATGATCTTCACCTTTCATTTCCATTCCTTTACAAACATTTATCCAAATACAGTGTAAAGAGAAAGCCTAAAAACCAGGTCCCTTTCTGGTCAAGTTAGTTGATTCAAACTTAATTGATTGTTCTACCCTTTTTTTCAGAATGTCCAAATAGAAAGAGGTTATTGCACGAGCTCCAGTTAAAACCCTAACGATTCTAAAATCCTGATAATAGCTCCAGCAAGAATAGGAATAGAAGTAGATCCCTAACACCTTATTTGAATTGTAGTAAATGATAAAATTTTAATGTATGGTACTCCGCGGGTATGAGAAAATCATGTTTGTTTCAACTTTCAATAGTAACAAACAATATCTGACGGGCAAATTTTGGATGAATTTTAAAACCACTAA